ATTTATGAGTATACCTAGTTGTTTTTATTGGACTGTGTGTTAACCATTTTTTTTTATTTGATGATAATGGAATGGTGTGCTCGCCTGCGCTAACGGTTTACGCTGGCGGGGCACCAGCGGAGGATGATAAGATGAACATGAGATCAGGTCAGTTAGCCCGTCGTGACAAATTCGCCAGGAATTTAGCACGATGGTTTCCAGGGGAAACCACGTGGAGGTCAACCTGACATGTGATACATTGTTAGCAATGGGGTCATGAGTCCACATTACTAACAATTCCATTCCCCCCGGGTGTTAACCATTATGTATTTAAAAACAATAGAATTTAAGTATTTATGTCAATTGTCGAGTAGGTCCCAATATCACAAGCTCTGCGTAGCTAGGGGCTAGATGGCGCTGTATGATTTGTCTAGGCTTATTATTATTATAGGTTACAGCTATATAAATATATAAAATCTTAAGATACTGCTTAAGAGGATAAATTTTACATAGTGCTTTAATATATAAATAAAATTAATATCTACTAGGAAAGTACTAAGGTACTACTTATGTAATTTAAAATGTTTATTTATCAACGCACAGCTGAAATACTGCTGGGTTTATTGACATGAAATTTTGTATTGTACATATTTGTATATGAATTTCGTATAGTACCTATGTAACCTAATTAAAAAAAAAGATAAACATATATATATATATATATATGATAAGCATACATATGATAGCATATTTTATGAAAATTTTATGTCGATTCGTTGGCTCTATAGAGCTGTATACTATATATACCTACCGATGAGTAATAAAATTACGCAAGTGCATAATGCATTGCCCATTGTGTGGTAGATTCTATTAAAAAATCGTCACAACACGATAACGTCGTGGTATTCACATAAATGTCACATAACAGAATAATAACCCGCTTTAAAAGACACATTTGAAAAGTTTTGGAGGGAAAAATATTGTAACAATGAATTAGTATAGCTTTTATTTATACACATACCTAGCTGTGTAAGTACAGCTTGACACAAAATAGATAGGTTTCGTTGGAATAGGCATTCCTGGCAGTCATGTTCAACCTTCAGGAATCGACTTATAAAAGAATAGTGTTCATCCTTGATTAGGTGTGATGATAAAATAAATATAACCGATATAGTCAGTAGCCTATAAAGTATAAATTAATATTATACAGACAAAAGACTTGACTTTATTTTGTATGTGTCTAATAGATATACCTACAATAAAAATACTATTTTAAAAATTATTTCTTTGTATCGAAAGCTACTACTATCCGAATACCTTTGATTGTGTGTGATTGACAATTAAAAAAAATATATATATTCATACCATAACTACACATGTTTCGAACTTGGGACTAGTTACTGGAATTTATATACAAATGCTTGATGTTCATAATAAAGATGTATGTCATTTGAAATACAAAAAAAAAATGGATGGCTACCTATCAAACGTTAATGTACTAATATCTAATGTCCCGCAGAGCAGCCAGGGATGTTGAAAAAACATTATTTCCGTTCATAAACAAGAAATGACTTCCTCAATCAAGCGGTTATGCCCATAGGTGCTGCAATGACAAATGGATGTTTGGCGCTTATACATTTCAATCTTGTAGCATATGGAGCACATCAGAACCTTTGGAACAGAACCGCGTCGACGTTATATTCGATTTCAAACCCCATTGTTAACTGCCGTGATGTCTTCTTTTGTGCCAGCAACAATAGGTTTTTTTGCAAAGTTCGTGTAAATTACACTCGCATAGTCAATTTAATATTTTTTTTAAAAGGACCCAAGAATGACTGCGTGTAACTTTAGGGTCATTAAAAGCTCATTGATTTGATTATGTTATTAAGTGGTTAATTTTTATAAATGTGGTTAGTTAAGGATTTGAAAGCGTTAACTCAAGGCTTATTATATTGCTTTATTTTATGTTTTATTCATAAATGTAGTCAGTAAAAAAGTTAGTATATTATTTTCTAGAAAGATTTTGTTTAGACTAATTTTACAAAAACATATTCTAGAAATCGAAACTACAATACCTACTTTCGTAATTAATAATCACTAAAATATTTTATTTATACAATTGATACTTAAGACCAATTTTTAGACTGTTATTTTATCATTAAAAAAATGTAGCAAGTACAAGTAGATAATTAAATTTAATATTTTTTCATCTAATTCTGGCTATATGCAAGCGTCTAGTTATTACTGTAATTATATATGTATATTCGTAGTTACATACATATTTATAACTATTTAAATTAATGATATTTGAATAGCCCACAGTCATCAAATACGTATTAACCATAGATCTCATGTAGTTTAGGTATGGCTTTGCTAATGATGTTTGGAGTGTAAAAAAATATAAGTAGGTAATGAAACATCTGTAAATTACTTTCTAACCTACAACATACTTTTTAATAACTATAAATATAATCTACCTGTTAATAAAACTTAAATACTTAAGTAAATATTTATAACAAAAAAAATACTAGATAATATAAAAAAAGCATAGGTAACATGAACTTATTCTGATTTGATGTTTGATTGAACGAGTGATCTCAATAATTGCTGGTGGCACTGGTTAGAATTGTAAATTATTTTAAAATACTATATTCCAGTTATCGGATGAGGGGAATTGCATATACCAAGATAAGATTAGTATCAAATCAAATGAGATACATAACTGTAGTCTCAAAATTTAAAATTATTTTAATGATGAACGTCGCATTTGTAGAGGAAGTCTAAAGGTACATTACGCTACAGCCAATAGGAGCGCTGCATCAATGAAAAATGTTTTTGAAAGTTTCAGTTTTCTCTTCAGTAGATAGGTCGAAGTCAGTTAGGTGTATCATTGTGAGATTCATCAAGAGTTACCCGCGATGGTTTGAACCTCCATGTTACTTAGGTATATATAGGCAGTAGGCACCTATTACAAAAATACGGCCATTATTTCCCATTAGGTACTAATTAATAATCTGCTTTTCATAATACTAGGTATTGTACAGACTTATTGTAAATATTAATGTAAGCTAATAGTACCTGATATCTAATATCTAAATATAAGCTGTAGATAATAATAATTAAAAGTCTATCCTGAGCGTTGTTTGACTTCTGATAGAATATTAGAGATTCAGAATTCTAATATTCTATTATAACGAAGTTGCAAAATGTATCGTGTCACTAGGATGCCAACAAGAACTGTTAATTATAGGTATTGTTACATAATGACACGAATGATACAATCACATAAAGAATACAGAGTGATTGAGTATTAATTAGTGCTATTAATAGCATAAACACCTCATTAGTGTCGCATTTATTTAATCGGTTGCTTATATCCCTAGATCAATTTGTCACCAAGCATAGAGCACGATTTCCCTGTATTGTTTTTATTAGATACGTAGATATATAAGTAGTTATTTAAGTAGGTAGGTATACAGAATACATATGTGTATTTTTTAAATTTAGTTGTCTTAGTAAGTGATTTTAATTGATTTTGTACGTAAATAATTCTATTTTCTTCATATTAAAGTAGTATAAGTAGTTGTCAAAAACGATTTTCTTTTATTTTAAATATCTACTATTATCTACTAAATTAAGTACCTAACTTACATTCAGTGATTAGATATATAAGTTTTAGAGGTTAAAAGGTGGGTGGAGGTGTTAGAGGTCATTGCATTTTACATATTAACCAAATTAAAAATATTGCTTATTACTACACTTTTTGCCGTTGTAGGAGTTTTATAGTACGTAATTAGAAATAAGCGGATAGTAGGTATTCATAAAGATATTGTAGGTAACTATTATATAGGTACCTAAGAGACATAAAAAAATTCCTTTATTTTAGACAGATACATTATAAGTGAAACTAGCACATTGTTAGAGTTCATTAACATTTTTACTATGTATAGGTACATGATTCTATAATAGAATATTAGAATTCTGAATCTCTAATATTCTATCAGAAGTCAAACAACGCTCAGGATAGACTTTTAATTATTATTATCTACAGCTTATATTTAGATATTAGATATCAGGTACTATTAGCTTACATTAATATTTACAATAAGTCTGTACAATACCTAGTATTATGAAAAGCAGATTATTAATTAGTACCTAATGGGAAATAATGGCCGTATTTTTGTAATAGGTGCCTATATATAAGTAACATGGAGGTTCAAACCATCGCGGGTAACTCTTGATGAATCTCACAATGATACACCTAACTGACTTCGTTTTCATCCTATAATCCTCCGCTGGTAACCCGCCAGCCAGTTATAGCATTATTTCATTCTCCACCAGCGATTCCCCGTTAGATAGTGCAGGCGGGTGCAATATTCTTTATTCATATTTAATAAAACTATTGCCTCATTCAAGTGCAGGCATCTATCATCCATTAAAAACCAAAAATACTTTTCTACCTAGTGTATGGTTGTGATAACCTGATAACGGTAGAATTAGATAATAGATTGGATGAGACGTTCTTGACTTATGAATTAATATGAATAGTAGATCTATTTGTGTAATTCGAGAATAATTACTAATGTCTTATTGTTAGTAGTAGTTAGTAGGATGTTCTGCTTGTTCTCATCATTTTATTTTCTTATAAGATTCATATACATATCATATACCTAGGTATATTAGGTAGTTAACTACCTAATTAAGTAGGTAAACAGACATATCTATATTATGTAATAATAACTATATGTAAATGATATTTACCTATTTATAACATAGGTATAGGTAGTAGGTACTTAAACCAAGCTAATGTATGAACAGTTAGTTGAATTTACTTAGGTACTTTTTTGAAGTGGATAAGTAGATAAAATCTAAAATAATAACAAATAAAAATTTTTTTACTAACGTGTAATTTATTCTTGAAGTATCTACCTACGGTTCACTAACATAACTATAAGAAAATGTAGGTAGTATCAGTCTTGTGTTTACCTCTAAATCTAATTTAATAACAAAATAAAACTTACCTCCATTGTCAGCATTGTTAGCTTCAAAAGTTTTGCTCGTCATGTGGAACAGAGCATCCAGGGGAGTGTGGGGCGCGGTAGAGCCCTGCTGCGAAGCTCTCCGCGGCTCCGAGCAGCAGTCTGATGCTGATGAGGACCGCTCCGAAGCTGAATCACAGCATTCCGCTGGCGCCATATCCCTCGGCCTCAAAAGACCCAAAGCTGCCAGTCTCCATCGCTCTCCGTCTAATAAAGCAGCACCAGCCAAGCGCTGTAGCCGCTGCAATCTTTCAAATCCAGACGCGTCCCAGGGTCGAACTATGCGCGGAGGTGTACGCGGGCTATGCGATAAAATGTCCAAAATAGAAAAACTTTTCACACCTTCCCCTCGCCGTTCCTCGGCTGGCTCCGAAGCCATCTTCAGCCGTTTTAAGGGTCTAAAGTAGTCGTGGGGTGACGGTGACCGCGAAGGTGCCGGTGACGGTCGCCCAACACTAATATCGTCTTCAGAACAACTATGTCCAGACATAGACTCCTCCTCCATCGTTCAGTTCACAAATCCATCACACAACAGTCACAGTTTAGTACGAAGTGTTCCGCCGGTTGTGTTTATCTCACAAAACATCAAGCTAACACAAAATACGGTTAACGGATCGACGCGCCTCGCTCAACTGACGTGGCTGTGACAGCCCTGGTACGGGCGGTGAATGTAGGCGTGGCCCATTAACGTCGACGAATCAGAACGCTTCATTTTATTATTGTGAAGCTGTGATTGGTCGTTGGTGGATCGCTAGGTGCGTCGAGTTGTCACACTCTACGCTCCAATAAAACCTTTTAATCCGGCCCTGGATTGGGGGGCGAGATTCGTGGTGTGATTAATTTAGCTCGCCGTGGGGCAAAGTGCGGTGTGTGGCGCGGCTGGTGTGGGGAGGGAGGCGCTCTGTTAATTACCGGGATGAAGACGCGACTCTAACTACTTGCTCCATTATTTAGCGTCGATAAGGTCGACGTTTGTCACTAGAGAAATTGCCACTTTCCTTCATTTATAGTTCATCGGTTAATTGTCGAAACTGGGTATAGTAGCGGACAGTTTATTGTTGGAGGCATTAACTGGTTACTATTAAGTGTATTAATATGCTCACCTAGATATACATAGGCACAAATGATCCCTAATCGACTGTTAATAACAATTTATGAGGCTGGTCTCGTAAATTACTACATGCTCGCTTTTTACAATGCCTCTGTACAACAATTATTTTACCTACTTGGCTAAATAACTTTTATCGTAAATTTAATGATGATTAAACAATTCTTATGAACAGATATCTACATATATCTACCTATATTGTCTACATTTACCTATCTACTTTAGTTACCTAATAGGCTAAGTTTTGCTACTTAGGATCTAAGTAATTGTAATTTTTTATATAGGTAACAGGAATGGTAATAAAGTGGATGATACCTAAGTGGTAGGTAACATTCGCCTTCGATATTGCATCATCATATGACGCCTATGAGGCGGCCCTCATTGCCATTCATGAGGAATGGAATCTCAATTTGCTCAATTTGCCAGAAAAAAAATTGGAATGTGTTATAAAATATTTTTTTTTTTTGTAAAAAAGCTTATTATAAAATTGAAGAATTTATAAATGATATTATTATTTTTGTAGAAAATATCTAACTTCATAGTGCTGACAATGTTATCTGATTGAACAGAGATTAAGTGCGTAGCGGTTTCTATGTTGATTGTCGCAAACCTAATCCTTGTTGTTAATTAAATACAAGTAAATCAATATTTATTTAAAAGAGCAACACAGAAGTTTCCTGCTTAGATATTCTTTTTGTGATGAATCTGCATTCCGAATAAGCGGTAGAATCAAAAAACTTAACTATTCAAAAGTGCTAAGATATATTAAGTTTATTTAAATAAAGATTATTTCTATGTCTATTTCTAATATCCTATGATGTTACGCCTACATATTCTGTATTTTACTGCCATATCTCACCCATTGACTGCAACCCAATAGGTATCTACTTACTACCACTTATTCAAGCTTTATTACAGACCGCCAAATAAATTAATTAAATTATATTGTTACTTATTGTTACTTAGCATTAATAGGTAGGTATATTGTGTAATCAATTATTTATTTGTATCTATTTCAACATTAATCTATATAAGATACCTAATGCTTGAAACAATTAAAGTTATAAATAAATTATTACAATAGACAAGAAATGGTTTAGTACCTACTTAGGTACTTACTAATAAATCTATAGAACTATGTATCTATACTTATATCTATTTATACTTATATCTATTTATAATAGGTAACTTAAATGTCTAATGTATGTAAATACCCACTGATGGGTACAAAAATCTGTCGCATCACCTTAAAAGTAACAGTGCATGAAGGAACTCATTAAATAAATAACAAATCCAAAATGGCGGACGTAAAGGATAACCGTTAATCGACTCGTAAAATTTTACTGGGTAGGGACGATAAAAACCAACTCATGTCACACAGAGCTTAGAGTTCAAAATTATTGTTAGCATTTGTGGAGACCTAATTAAATAAAACTAATGATTTTATAAGTAGGTATAGGTATTATCTAGAATAACCGTTTGCGTAGTGTGTGATTACATTATTAAAAATGCATTTTATTTTTATACCATCACCTATTCTGTAGACATGCATTCTGAAATTAAATTATATTCTATTTAAGGAGTAATTTAATTTTTGAATGCCTATTAAAAAATAAGTACTTTATGTATTACTATGTACGAAATGAATAAATATCCAATAAAATGGGACATCTAGGTATCCTCCTTTAACTCAACCTTGATATCTATTATTTGAATTATTAATTTATAAATAACTTCATATCTATTAATTAGATAATATGGACTTAAATAATTAATAGAATTGTAGTAGATACACATTTCTAATATCCAACGAAGTTCTCATACCTATTTCTAGACTAGGTATACCTTTGATTATCCCCATATAGGATAAGTATTATAAAAGACGATATACCTAATTAAATTAGTTTAAAAGATACATAGGTATATGTATCTTTATATTTATTTTGAGATATTGATGTAGGAGGATCTATAAAAGAAATGATAGTAGGTAGGTAGGTATATTTTATTTCTTATTGTGCTGATTTTTATTTTTATCCAGTTCGGTAAATAATTTAAATCTAGAAAATATAGTCACCTGTATTACAAAACATTAAACTGTCTAGGAATCTACAATGTAGCAATTTACCCACTTAAAAATCATCCCCTCGGTTTAAATTTTTTAAATGAGTTTATAGAGGCTAGCTACCTACAAACCTATCTAATACCATAAAATTATGTGTAATGGCTTATTATTTTTATAGCATAAAGGACGGAACTACCGGAACATACGCCATATTGCACGTTCCCGCGATTATTGGCCAATCATGTCTATTTCCGAACAATTGTACAATAGATAGCCATTTATTACGTAATAGGTCCATGACATTTACAATAATAATAATAATAATCATCTTTAATAATTCAAGAAAAGAAATAATCACTTACGAAATTCAGTATCAAATACCTTAGGTAATTATAATTATTTAGGTATCCATTTCTGACACCGTAATAACCTTATTAGGCAGATGTATTTTTTTTAATTTATTGAGGTCAAAAAACAGTTGTACCTACCTAATTAGATAGATAAAGCCTTTATTCGTATCTAAAATATTACAAACAAATTACTATAAACAACACATTATTATATGACTTAAGGCTATTGTTACATTTTTTAGCAAATGTGTCACACACTGTGTTAACTACTAATTAGGTACTAATAATAATATTACGCTGCTCGAGGCGCGTTGTACACGTACGAGGCGTAACATGTCCTATAGTCTCCATTAGCAACATTTCTCGAGAATAGCTAAGTAAGTACCTACCTACCGATATAAAATTATTGTGCATTTAATTAAATGAACAAGAAAACTAAATTAGATAATACCTAAGAAACTATAATAATTATCTCTCTTAATTGCCATAGAACGCTGCTAAAAACTTTTTTTCCATACTGTTTTAAATACCTTAGTCAAACTTCTTTTTGAACGGTTTCATAACTCGTTAAAAATTCACCCCCTTTCTATTATTGTTCACCATTAGGTACCTATGCTTAATTAAATAGATAATTATAATTTTAATTTCTCTAGATAGGACCTAGGTATAGGTATGTGTAGACGAATTGGCTAAACCTAGGAATGAAGAGATTATTTTGAATAAAGTACCTGTTACCACAGATAACATAATATTACATACTATTACAAATGAATGTAGAGAGCAGAGGGATACCGAAAATGAAATGGATGGACTGTGTGAAAAATGATATAGCAAGAAAGATAGTGAATAAGCAGATGACTGCGAACAGGGATGAATGAGAATTGAGAAAATCAAATTAGGTAAGTCGACTACGAATGCCGTTCATTCGTAGTCGACGTACCTAATTTGTTTTTCTAATGAAGAAGAAGATTAAGATAACCTACCTACTACCTACTTAAATATCGGTTCAGTTTAGATTTGCGTGGTGGGACCACAAAGAAAGTGCTTGATAATATGCGTATACCTTCATAAACATGCAAAATTGACGGATGTTACAGACTGTTTCCTTTAGGTAGGAATAATTAGTTACATACGTAATGCGTTTAGTTTCCTTTACTTTATTTAGGGTCCCGTTCTCTGAAATTAGGGTGCCGTCCGTCTTAATACGAATGTTTAGAAAATAACGTTTGGTTGACTTCTACGAGATCCGATTTTTTTATGGATGATAATGAAATGATGCACCCACCTGTGCTAATGGTTTACGCTGGCGGGGCACCAGTGGAGGAAGATAAGATGAGCATAAGGTCAGGTCAGCTCATCGTAGTAAATACTCCATGAATTTATCACGATGGTTTTGAGAACTGTCTTGATGTCAATCTGACCATGCTGAGCAATGGGGTAATTATTAGTCCACATTACTAACAATTCTTTCCCCCCCCGCGCTCCGATTAGAAGTTATATTGGTCAATACTTTGTGAATTAACCACGATATGTGACTGATATTTCTGCGAGTTAATATAAAATAACTCAGGACAATTCAGCCAGCGCCATCTAGTCCCAAGTTAAACAGAGCTTGTATTATGTGTACTACATACAACCGATATGAATACATAGATAGGTACAATTTTTTATAAATACATATATACCTATAATATCCATAGAAATTGCCCAAACTAATACAAACAATCCATCTTACTCATGAACACATATGTTTATACCGTGTGAGGAATAGAACCCGAGAACATCGAAAGCAAGGCGGTGTGCTAAACCGCTATACCATAGAGACTGTCAAATTATGCGACCCACCAATGAAAAAGTTAGAAAAACTGGTCTGTACTTTTTTATTTACATTATCTATGTTTTACAAAAATATATATAGGCATAGATATCAAAGTATTTATACCAGTTATCTAGTAGGTACCTATAACACAAGTTCTGCTTAGTTTGGAACTAGATAGCACTGTGTGAATTGTAGTAGGTTATTATTATAGATTGGTTACTAAAGTTTGGCTATTTATATCGCAACTTAACTAATTTCGTAGATCACTTTTTTCAGTAA